AAAAAGGTGAGCCTCTTTCATTGTCCTTATTTTGGATCATAATTCATATGTCACATTTTTATTTTATTTCTAACATTTGCCATTGCAATTGCATAACAATTAATTCTGACAAAGGACATCGTATTCCCGAAACTGTACATCAAAATTGAAATTAATGTACATCCAGTCATCCATGTATTGGGTTGTCCAAACTATGCGTCATGAACTAGGGTTTAATTTGTGGTAGTTTTAAATTTTGGCATTACAGGTCATTTTCATGTCCCCTTTTCTTGGATATTCTGCAACTTATTGATGGATTCCTTACGGTACAATTGGTATCTATATATGTTTCTGATTCTTACTTAGTTCACATGACTTTAGAGGAGTTCAATAGCCGTACATTTCGAATAAAATTTTATAGTTATAAAATAAAATATTGTATTTTATTAAAATATGATTAAAAATGTATATATTCTGTAAAAAAAAGTATATATTAATAGTATAATATCATTTTTTTATTTACTAAAAATGTATATATTCTGTAAAAAAAAAAAGAGTATATATTAATAATATATAATATCATATTTTTATTTATATAATTTTTTAAAATATGAAAAATATATATATTTTAAAATAAAAAGTAAAAAAATGACTACCGATTAGTCCAGAACCGGCTGTTTGGATACTATTAAAATAGACGAACCATGTGATTAGCAAATGGCACGAGACTACGGTTTTATGGATTGGGCCTATGGGAACTTTGTTGCTACGATATGGGCCTAGCTCAATTGTAGCTCTCTTACTGTTTAATATTAGTTATGAACAGCCCAAATTGATATCGTCCGACAGTCCATCAATAAAATACAGTTCTATTTTTTTATTTTTTTTTTCCGAAGAAATACAGTTCTATTTGAAATGAACTAATAGGGTAAAGTCCACTTTTGGTCCTTCATGTTTAGGGGTATCCAGACTGAGTCCCTATTATGTTTTGGTGTCCAATTTTAGTCCTTAAAACAAAAAAATGAGTCCCTATTATGTTTTGGTGCCCAATTTTAGTCCTTAAAACAAAAATTGTAGTCCCTATAATAGGGAAAAATCCACTTTTAGTCCTCCATGTTTAGGGGTATCCAGACTTAATCCCTACTATATTTTGATGCCCAATTTTAGTCCATAAAACAAAAAAATGTAGTCCATTTACCTCAATTTCTGTGAATTAACGGTCCATTTTTGCTCGACTGTGATGTTCTTTATTTTTTTAAAATTTGTTGATTAATGTCAACTTTGACCAAAGAAAAATAAAAGAAAATTTAAATGCTGAAAATATATTAATCAAAAATTAAACTAAAACAAGAAATTGCACCAAATTAAATTAAAATTTTTGCTCGTCTGATTTCTATTTCCCTAGCATTCGCGCTGCGGAGCAAGCTTGGAATCACAGCTACTGCTCTTGCACCCATTTCCGGGTCATGCCATCGAAAAAAATTGCACCTATCAACCCTCTGTTTTTTAACCATTTCTTATCATATTCCAATTGAAGTTCACAGAAAGTACTTACAGGATATAGAGGGCAACTCAAGAATCTTCTCTCGGGATTATCATCCTTTCAGCATGTAGTCAACTTTGCAACCAGCTCACATCTACAAAATACCACACCATTTCCATCCATTTGATCGGATTTAGTCTCTAGGCGGTCAGGTTTTTTTTTTCTACGTTTCACTGCAGTTCACCATTTCTGCCTTTTATTTTACCTTTTTTCAGCATTTAAATTTTTTTTTATTTTTCTTTGGTCAAAGTTGACATTAGTCAACAAATTTTAAAAAAATGAAGAACATAACGGTCGAGCAAAAATGGACCGTTAATTCACATAAATTGAGGTAAAGGGACTACATTTTTTTGTTTTAAGGACTAAAATTGGGCATCAAAACATAATAGGGATTAAATCTGGATACCCCTAAACATGGAGGACTAAAAGTGGATTTTTCCCTATTATAGGGACTACATTTTTTTGTTTTAAGGACTAAAATTGGGCACCAAAATATAATAGGGACTCAGTCTGGATACCCTTAAACATGGAGGACCAAAAGTGGACTTTCCACAATCTTAAAATAATAATATTCTTCATTTCACAATCATAAATTATCCCGCAAGGGTAAGCTGTGTGTGTGAAATTAGCTAATTAGCTAATGCTCGTAATATATTAGTTTTAGAACTTTGAACACAATACACATTTTATCAGGTCAATCTCTAACAATTTCGAAACTTCACAAACTGCTCATATGCAAAACCATAACTTAGGTTTGGAGGCCTCAAAATTTTAAGATTTTAAGCAAATGTGAAGAGTGCATTGCTCAGGCCAGGGCTCGTCAAATATTATAAAGGGTGAATAGATAAATAATATTTTTATTGAAAAACATATAATAATTATTAATTTGTACTTATAATTATGTTAATGGATATTATAGAAAAAATGATGAAATGAAATGAATATTATCTCTTTATTTTCTATTTTTAAATACTTAATATGCGCTATCATGCATTCAAAAATATTAATACTGTCCAGTTCAGCCCACAAGACATTTTCGGCCAGACTCATATAATTTTCTTAATAAATATATACTACTGTCAGATATTTAAGTAACTGAATTTAATTTCTTTATTCATCTACTATGGTCAACAAAAATGTTTTCATACATAGAATAAGTAATTTATAAAGTAAAATAAAATAAAATAAACAAGTGCCAAGGGAAAAGCCGTAAAAGTCTTCACCATCTTTCAATGAATCTAATTCGAAATCTCGAGGAGATACCCAGAAAATGATAGAAAAAAAATGATTAAATACACATAAGTGAAAGCCACTTTTGGTGGCTGATATTTTTCACTCCAAAAGCATTAAAGCAAATGAAGACAAATTGTTGACAAAGGCCCGAGGCGCACGACAGGCAAACAAATCATAGAGATGAACTGAGATGGCAATAAGATTTTTTAATTTTCAATGAATATAAAATAAAAATATAATAATTAAAATTTATATGTTGAAAAATAGTATAATATTAGTTGATAATGACTGATAAGATATATGAATGGTCGAATAATATTTTGTTTAGCAAAATATATAATAATAATGAATTGTATATAATATAAATCTATACTTATATTAAAGGGGGTACTATTTACTAAATGTAGTATGTAGAATAATCAACTCTAATTAATGATTTGCTATTTTTATCAATCATTTAATTAATGCATCTAATATTTTTGGTATGCAAATCAAATTAGCATTTAATTAGTTCCTAAAATATTGGGTATGCAATATTAATTTAGGAATATCTATGTAGTTCCTAAAATGTAGGTATGCAATACGTAAATGAAGATTTTTTATTTTTTTAAATATAAAATATTGCAACACTTACAACTATTCCAGTTATTTTTTTATTTTATTTTACATATAAAATTTAATCAATATTTAATTCATCCTACAAAATTGGATTTAGTTTAATTCTCCATACAATTGGTTGTAACTTTTTCAGTTGTACATTTTTTATTTATTTATTTTACACTTTTAAATTAATGAAGCTCTCCGAAAATACCAAATCAAATGATTTATGAAAGTTTTTTTTTTTTACAATTTTAAATCTATATACCCAGCTTAAAAAACTCATCGCATGGACGAGTTTAAGAAAATTTCATAACCCAGCTTATAAAATTCCATCTCCACGAGTAAAAAAAATCACATCCCTCATCTATCGTAACAACTTTAAACGTAAATAAATAAAAGTCTAATTACTACTATAAATCCGTTATCTATATAGATTTTTTAAAAATGTAAATTTCACCTGTCTCATTACTAATATTTTAGATACTTTTAAATATTATTTGTATAATTTTTTTTTACACATTTGCTCTCTCTCTCTCTCTCTCTATATATATACATATATGAAGGTTAAATGAAGAATTTTTAGACATATTTTCCTTACGGGTAGTTTCGAAAAATCTAGGTAGCTTCAAACATTATTTGTGAATAATATAGAATATTTTAGATGCTTTTATAGATGTTATAAAATATTTTAAGTATATTTAAATATTTTAAGTATTTTTAATATTTATATATCACACTTAAAAAGAATATTTTGCCAAAAAAAAATATTAAATACACATTGGAAATGTTAATAGAAACAGTCTTCAGCATTCATCTTTGATTTTGTCAAAACAAATCTTATAAAATCGGTGAAGTCAAAATTTGTACGTAAAGTCTATCTATACTAAAAAAATGTAGATTCAAAAATCTTTATCTAATTTTTTTTTTCCCTTATCTAATTCATTCTTATTATCTAATTGTATAGAAATTTGTTCTGATTTTGTGTAATCCTTTAATTGTATTTGTATCATATCCGATAAAATCGGTTTAACAAAAAAAATCCCATAACATCCGATAAGTAAAAAAAAGTACGTAAAATCTTTATTAAAATAAAAAGGCTTTATTTATTATCTAATTTATTATCTAATTGTATGGAAATTTGTTCTGATTTTATATTACGTACTACAAATTGTGCACTCGTGTTCAGGAGCTACTTAACCGGCAAGCTATGTGGAAATAACTCATTTAGTGCTTTTGTCCCGTGCATACGGTATGTATTTGTATTACACATACTAGAAAATTGTGCACCCCGTGCATCGAACTCTGTACTAATAAATGACCTTAAAATTGTGCATACGGTATGTATTTGTATTACACATACTAGAAAATTGTGCACCCCATGCATCGAACTCTGTACTAATAAATGACCTTAAAATTGTGCACCCCGTGCATCACCCGTGTTCACATTTTGGCTTATTACAGGTCACGTACTATATATATCCTGTACATTTTTCTTTATTCATTTATATAATTATAAAACTTGATAAATAGCCTTAATTTTGTGCACCCCGTGCATCACACGGGATCTGTACTAGTTAAGATAAGTAGTAGTTTATGTAAGTAAGAATGCTTCATTTATTATTTTAATAAGAAAAATCTTAATTGATAGCAGCTAGTTGACTAGTTCAACAGGTTTCTCAACAAGCTTATTCTTATAATTGCAACCTCAACTATTATAAAGAAATGGTATTTGATCCAACAAAATGACAGATAAGGAGGAAATACCGAAATACCCGCATAATTGAATTATATTATAAATACCTTTTCATCTCTTGTTGATACGAATCCAAAACCTGATGTGATTAGATAAAGAGTGATAAGTACTCGTTCATCTTATCTTAGGTTAAGAGACTGTACAAATCAGAGAGAAAATCAAGAGATACGTATTTATCAACAATAACTATAAATTATTGCAGCCCAATTAAACCGAAACATGAAGAGATATCTCATATATGGATTAATTGGAAAACTGCTTCGATAGAGTGAAACTCACCGAATTTATCAACAACAATTACAAATTTCATAAATNAAAAAAAAAAAAAAAAGTACCATTAACAAGGACGTAAAAACATTTTCAAGAGTCAGATGGATTGATCTGGTGCATATTCACATGAAAGAGAATGTATTGAGATCCACTCATAATAACACTGAAAAGTCTACAGCACATGTTGCTGGATCTTGTGTCAAATCTCAAATGACACACACAACTGGCAAAACAATCAACTTAAACAAGCCAATCACCACAAATCAGTGGTAAAGAACTATGATTTGACTAGTCTGACTAGGGCAGCAAAACAAGTAAACAACTGACTCACAATTCCACAAAAACTCCAGCTCAAGCCCATTAATCTATAGCACAATGAGCAAAAACAAGTCGAGCTCGAGCCCTTCTTTTTCTTTTAAGTAGTTTCTACAGCTCAATAAGCTGGAGTCCAAACAAATCGCGAGCTTAAAAGCCCCTTTATCTAGGGCTCAATGAGCAAAAACAAGTCGAGCACAAACCTCTTTTTGTAGGTTCTTTATACTTCTCACGGAAACAAAATATGAGATTTTTCCGAATTGAACTATTAGAAAGATGGAAATTGATGTTAGACTCAATCTGACATGTTTGCGGCCCTACTTGTAGAGATACCAATTGATTACAAAAGCCTATATGTATCCAAAATGAAGACTACGTTTGGTAAAATTAACTTATGACTTATGAAATATTTTCGAGCTTATAACTTATAGTTTGACTTATAGTTGAAAAGTTAGCTTATATGATAAAAATATTTTGTAAAATTAACAAATAAACTAGTTGAAATAAAAAAATTTCAAAAAACTTAATTGAAAAGCTACCCAAAATTGAACTCGAGTTTTTATAATCTAATCAAATAAACTATAAGCTAGCTTAAATATTCTATTCACATACACACAAACATAAAATATAGCAAGAATATGTACAACTAACATCATTTTCTTAAATAACTGCATCATCACGTGGATTGAACATTAGTAAGGAATTTATAGCAACATTGTCAGTTAGTTTAAAAAAACATTAAATATCAAAGGCAGAAAGAAAGAAGCTTGGCACTGTGTCTTGTCTGTACTCTTACAAAAAGGACCCGTCACGTGTGGGGGACCTCTCTATCACATGACTTATCAATTATCATCACTGATGAAGATACATACTATTCTTCTCACTACAGCTCACCATATCACGTGTCCATGTCCTCACAATCTAATAAGCATCTTTGTTTTTCCTCAATTTTTCAGGAATTCATTCCATCATTAAAGATTCTAATTAGCTCAAACAAAGGTACATGAATCTTAGAATTAGCCCTAATTGAAGTTCTTAGGAGACAAAGTAGATGGATCAACACATCATAGTTTTTGAACAAAAATGCATACTAAAATGGACTTTTAAATAAGCCAGCTAAAAAAGCTCAAGAACAAATGGAACATTAATACAAATATTTCTATTAAAAACACTTTATTTTGGAGCAAAATTTCATTTGATTAAATAATAGACCACCACCATTCAACAAACGAAAAACCAAGTAATTTTCTCCAAAATAAACTCTTAATTTAAAAATCCAATAATAAGCAAGCAAAAATTAATTAACCAAAAGCATACGAGATAATCAACCAAAAATAACTAAAAAAGAAAAAGCAAAAAGAAGATCCAACGGCCCACAATCGATCCAACATTACCAAAACGGCAAAAACACAACATCCTAATCCGACTTACTCTCGGGCTTCCTGCAGAGAATCATATGCATCGGTGTGAAAATACCCGTTTCTCCTCCTCGGGTCAAGTAGTCCGCCGTCACAAACAGCATCTCGTGCACGTCAACAACCCCTTTCGGCGCAATCCCCAGCCACGACAGCACCGTTACCACCAAATGGTTCCTCCAGTACGCGACCCGACCCATCTTCAGCCGGGTCCACCACGGCCCGGCCGGCGGCTTCGCCAGATCCTGCTCCTTCAGCACCTCGAACCCGACCCGCTTCGCCACCTCGGATATGTCTTTGTAGCTCCGGAGCCCCGGCAGCGCGTCCCCACGCTCGATCCCTTGAATTACCTCCACGTGCTCCGGGTCGTCCGCCCGGTACAGATCCGTCGTCACCCACTCGTAGGAAACGTACATGGATCCGGGTTTTAGGACCCGGTAGATCTCGCTGTAAACCTCCTCCAATTTAGGCGCGTGGCACGTGGCCTCGATCGAATAAGCCCCGTCGAAGCTCGCGTCCTCGAACGGCATCTGGAGGAAATTGCCGCACACGACCTCGCAGAGCGCGTCCAGCCCGGCCTTTTTATTGTGGGCCCGGGCCCGATCCACCTGGTACTCGTTGATAGTGATCCCGACGACCTTCGCGCCGGAGTGGGCCGCGATGGCCCGCATCGGGCCGCCGACGCCGCAGCCCGCGTCGAGGATGCGTGCCCCCGGCCCGACGGAGAGGAGGTCGACGGCCATCTCCTCGTGGAGGCGCGTGGCGTCGCGGTGGGATTTTCCGGGGAGGGAGGGGGAGAAATGGAAGGACTGTCCCCATCCCCACTCGTAGATGTCGGTGACGAGGTTGTAGAAGGCGTCGACGAAGGCGGGGACCTTTTCGGCGGTCTCGATCTCTTTGGGGCGGCGGAAGAAGGACCAGTACTGGCGGTAGGTGTCCTCGACCTTCTCGCGGGAGATCGAACCGCCTGAGAGGTGGACGGCGCGCTTTCCCTTCTGTTCGGCGGATCCGAGAATGCAGACAAACCAGTAGAGGCCGCCGGCGATTAGGAGGGCGGCGGTGCAGAGGAGGGTGAGGGAATCCATGGAGAGAGAAAGAGAGTGAAAAAAGGGGGGAGAGAGAGTCGTGTGGGGGAGTGAAGCTGGAAAAGAGGGTTAATAATAAAGGGATTTGTTGGGTTGAGCGTGGTGGTGGTNCTTTACTTTTTGTAGTCCATTGATTACGTTTTATTCATCCTTATTTTTTCCTACAATAAATCAATTCTAATAAGGCTATTTGATTTTGAAGGGATTTTTCTTATATATATATATATTAAAGTTGGAGATAAACATACACGAGTTTATGAATTAAGAAACATAGACTAATATAGAACTATTTAGGAGATAATTATCTGTAGCCCAGTGGACCAGATTCAAAATCCTCATGAATTTAACCTCAAATCAAACATATGGTTGATTAACCTATTTTGGTGTGTGGTCAAATTAGACTAATCACTATTAATAATGCATATATTTATCACTATTATTAATGCAGATATTTTGGAATTCGAAAAGTGGGCCTAACTGGAATGGAATCTTTGCGTTGTTTGAAATGTTTGCTGTGCACTTGTGCTTGTGTGAAAACAGAAACGGAAATCATCAAATCTTAACAACGCTGGTTTCGCTTGACTCAGTTTGTCATTTATTTTGTAGTATGTCACATTTTTCTGCGGCAAAATTATTTATATTAATAATAAAATATTTTAATTGCAAACTAGTAATTTTATTTGTAAGTTAGTAATAAAATATTTTTATCATTGAGAATTGAGCTTGTAATCAACTACTAAATTGAGAAATTCCAATTTCTATTCCAAATCAAGACACTCAATTGTGCGGAGGCATGTAAAAGAGTCAATCCGAGCTCAGAAATTGAGTTCTAACTCGGCTCGTTAAGGCCTCGAGTTCGAGCCTTAAAGAGTCGATCTCGAACTTTGACAATCCAAACTATAAAATATTTATATAAAAATTATTTTTTCGAGTCTTACTGACCCGAGTCAAGCTTGTCTCGTCAACCAAACGAACTTTAAATGAGCCCAAACACGGCTCGTTAAGGCCTCGAACTCGAGCCTTAACGAGGCGAGCTAGAGACAACTCGAGTCAAACTAGTTTGATTTAACAGAACTAGTTGTGCGTTACTTATTTTTATTATAAACATTAAAATGTGATTGGAACAATTTCAAATCTCAATTATTCATTGTTCATTGTATATCATATTTTTAATCAATATTTTATCAACTAATATTCAATTGTTGCACCTTTATCTTATATACTTTATTTCAACATAAAAACAAAATTTGCCAAAAAAAATGCCAATTTATTTCAGCAAGTCTTGTTTTCAAGATGATATGCTCACAATCATGCTACAGATTATTGATTAGGCCATTAAGATTTAAAAAGAGATAATTACTCCACAAACGAGCATATGAGTTTTTTTATTGCATATATACAAATATACATCTTATTAGCAAATATACAACATCCGATATTTTTATTTATATATGAACGAAAAACGAAAAAAACATCAGTATGCTTTTTTTGATAAAAAACCAAAAACAAAATCTCAAACCTCCGGCGGAACACCACAGTTCCACCCCAAAATTCCACCACCGCAAAAAAAATGGCCGCAACTTACTATTTCGATCAACCCATCATCGGCGACTCCGCCACAGGAGGAAACGACCGCAACTATGTGCCAGAAAATCATTCGTAGTTCACATGTACCGCTCGTAAGAGATGATTATTTGAGAACAACGAGGCAATCAGACGCGACGACTCACAGATTGAACGATGGACCATCGTCTGTGGCTCAATAACCGGCGGCAGAGCTACACGTGACGATCGAACCTCGGATCCGGTCACTGATGGGAGACGACCATCGACGAAAAGGAAAACAAGCAGGCTGGCGGATTTCGGTCGAGGGCGACCAAGCCACGTGTGACAACCCGGCGCCTAGATCTGGTGTTGTGGACAAACCCGTCAACTCTTTGATGTATATAATGTATTATCAGTATATATTTTGTATATATTCTGTATATAATGACTATTGGTTTTTTTGTCTATATATCTTATGTATATAATGACTATATATTCAGTATATTTTCTGTATATAATGCGTTTTTAGTTTTCTTTTATCTTCTGTTATGTATATAATGACTATGATTCAGTATATATTCTGTATATGATGCGTTTTGGTTTCCTTGCCGCTGCTGGGCCGAACTCCCTAAAAGAAACGGGGAAGAAGAAAAAAAAAAATTAAAGAAAGAGGAAAGAGAAAAGAAATGGGGATGAAACAGGGGAAGAAGAATAAAATTAAAGAGAGAGGAAATATAAAAAAACATACCACGTTTAAAGAGATAGGAAAGAAAAAAGAATGTGTCTTATTTATAGAAACAATTTTCGTCGATGTGTAAATTAAATTTTAATGAAATAAGTTTATAATTATTTAACAATCGAGATGTATGTATGTAAATTGCCCATTTAAAAATTAGCTAACTTACCCATTATCCTGGTCCAGTTTAGTTACACTATATTGGGCTACATAACATGATATAAACCCAGAAAGAATCATACCTGTGTGTATCTTTTCTCCAATAACAACAAGCCCGAGGTCCAACTCATTTCCTCATGACACCGGTAAATTGATCCAATTAATTGAGCCAAATGGGCTTAGATGACTAATTTTGTTATTTGGGACAATAAATTAAATTGAATCTATAAAAGTTTCAGCATTTTCTTTTTTTAAATCTCCGGGGTGTGCATGTGTTGTGCGGTCCGCAAAAATTTGAAAATATTAAATATTTTAAAGTTTGAATCAAACGGTATCGTTATGGAGAAAAAATCGAATTGAAAGAGCTGGAAAATTTCGGTTTCAGTGTGATTCGGTTAACTGCAAATAACAAAAAAATAAAAAAGTTGTAGTAGAATATAACATAACTTTATTCGATGCGGTTGATTAAAATCGCACCGTACGATAATAAGAATGAACTGCACGATTTCTTCCGCTTTTAAAAATTTTAACCACACCGCAAGCAACAATCTTCAAAAACTGAATCGCACTGCACTGAATACATCGATTCGGTTCAATTTTTCGGTTTCGGCTAGATTTTGCTCACTCCTATATCTGATTAAGAGTTATCTCGATTTTAATATTTGACAAGAGTTTATATATTCCTAACAAGTTGGAAGGCAATATATAAAATATAACAAACTCGTAGAGATAGTTACATGGTAAAAATTATATATTTTATGAATAAATTACTATTTTTAATTATAAAAAGAGCATTAATTTGTATTTTTTTTCGAAACGATAGATTTTATAGCTCAGAATAGAGTAACTACAGACTGGCAGGCTAATTAGCCCAAATAGTCAATCTAAGCAGACAACCAACACACCACAAGGTGAACAACAGAACAAAAGAAAACAAAAATGAAGTACATTGGCAGCCTCCAAAGGGCTGAGTCCAAGAGTTTGAAGCTTCATTTCCGGGCATAACAAAAGCAAATATACAAGGCACTACAAAAAGAGAACTACCGTTGCAACAAAGGGCCTAGTAGGACTCTAACAAGCTAGAGACTAACCGAAATAAAAAGCTAAAAGAAAGAAAAAACTAACTAAACTAACTCCAACAACACAAGAATAAGCTAAGGGGGAAAACAAGAACAGCTGAACTCTTGCCACTCCTTGACTGCAACATCCACAACTGACTTAGCTGGTCTCCATGTCATTTTGAAGATCCATAAATTTCGGGATTTTAGATCCACCATAATATATAAGTTGAAAGTTGTATTCTGTGTTCTGAGGTGGTGGTTTTGTCAAGTACATAGATCTTCACCCACCAAGCTTTGAAGTTTCTGTTTATTTGATCAAACCATCCCATGATAAAGATGATAACTTCCAAATCTCTTGAGCTCTGGGGCATGAGAAAAATAAATATTCAATTGTCTCTTGCTCTTCTCTATAGTTTGCAAAGATGTTGTCAATATCCATGCATTTTATAACCAGATTGCAGTTTACGGGCGGAGCATTTTGCAAGCTTCTTCAGAGGAAGTGTTTCAATTTTCCTTTAACTTTGAGCTTCCATCTTCTTTTCTTAGTTGAAATGATTAACTTGTGGTCTTTGCTTCCCTTCGGCAGATCAAGTTTCCTCTATTTTCTGCAACCAACATGGAGTAGGATGAAGAAATAGAGAATTTAGCATTGGTAGCCCAATCCCAAAGTAGTCTATCAGGTTTAGAGGGGTCCAATCCTTTGATGCTGAGGATGGCTGTAATTTCAGAAGGGTTGAACAGTTCTTGTAATAAACTCAAATTCCAGTGTCTGCCAGTGCAATCAAACAACTCCTGAACCCAAACAAAACTCCTGTGCTGCCCATTTGTACAATGTGGCCTGAAACCTGGGATTGAGGGTATCCATAGATAATCCCAAATTTTGATTGAGGCACCATCTTTGACATCATATCTGAACCCTTCATTGAAGTTATCACTGATCTGTAACCAACTTTGCCAGAGCCATGAGTTGCTGTGCTGCTTTTTCACCGTGAAGAGGCTCTCATTAGGAAAGTACTTGTTTTTCACAACTTTGCTGAATATGAGGTTTGGTTTTGTGAGGATTCTCCATAGTTATTTGATGATGGGTTTTATTGAACAGATGGATGTCCATAAAGTCTAGACCTCCTTTATCTTTAGGCAGAGAAAGGAAGCTCCGGGTTTTCCAGTGGATACCTTTGTGCTGATCAGGACCAGTTTTCCACCAGAAGTCAGCCAGGACTTGAGTGATCTTCTGACAGAGAGATTTAGCTATGAGAAAGGTTGACACTGCATATAATGGCATTGGTTGGAGGACAACTTTCAACAAGACTTCTTTATCTACAAGAGAGAGAAATTTATTTTTCCAATTGCAAATTCTTTTTTTGACATTTTCCAGGATAAATGTGAAGGTTTCAACTTTGGATTTCCCCAAGCTAAGGGGTAAACCCAGGTATTTGGCTGAGGTTTGGATTTAAATTCCAATAAGGATTTGGCTGATAGAGTGTGTGGAGGCAGGTGTTGTGTTTTTACTGAAGAAAATGGAAGATTTTTGGAGGTTAATTTTTTTGCCTGTAATTTGGTTGTATCATTCAAGAATTTGCATTCAAGAAGATTTGTATTAATAAATTTAGCTTTTAACTATCTGAAGTTGAATTTCAACAAACTAAGAGATAAATTCGACTTTTCTAAAAAAAAACTCGTCCTGCCAAATTAAATTTATTTGAATACAAAAAAATTATAAGCTAATCAAATAAGTTATGAACTAATTTTAAGTATATATATATATATATAATGTGGTTCAAATGAGAATCAAGTCTTAGTATGAGAACCGCTATTTTCAATTGTGAGTTGTGCTATGATTGATTGTGTTTGGTGGTATTTTTAACTAGGATGAATTTTATTAAAAATAGCAACATAATTTATATTAGAATTTGTGAAAATGATAGCATCATTTAATATTAAAAATAGCATCATACATAATTAGAAATAACATCAAATACGGTTCTCACGGTTCTCACACCAGGACTAGTTTTTATTTGAATCAGCCCATATATATATATCTCGTCATTTTATATTTTGGCCACGCCTAAATAACTCTTGATTATTTAATGCAGTAAAATTGATTAAAATTATTATATGTTGTATACTTTGGACGACAACCAATATCTCGTATTTTTTAAAAAACGACCAATTTAGTGTATTTTATTTTGGAAAAAAATAATTTGCCTAAAATAACAATAAAATTAAAACTACTTTCATATTTGACCAAAGTATTTTTGCAATTATCTCTTTGAAAGACATATATCATTCAATTAGGATTTCAAGTAATATTTTGAGAATTCTTAAGATTTGAGATTTTGTAAGATTTTCAGATTTTAGAGAAATTATGTGAAATCTTAAATTTGGAGGTAAGATTTAAACGGTGAAAGTTTTTTCTTTAGTTCCACCAAATCTTAAAAGTTTTAACAAATTCTCATCTCAAATTAGTTAAATAGCTTAAGATTAAGATTGTATAAGACTTTTTAAAATCTTAATTAAATTGCCCAAACTTTTATAAGTTTTAACAAATTTAAATTTAAATTAAAGTCTTAGAAAGTATTTACAAACCTTAATTGAATACACCAACACGTAAGAACTGGTGTTGGTGCAGATAGCACACGGAGAGTTGCTATGGCTGCCGAGCTGGGTAGGTGCGAGCACGTGCTGGTGTTTGCGACGATAACACCATCCTTCAATTTTATGATAAACGCACCATTTTTTGTTTTTTTTGTCAAGATTTGGACATTTTCTTACGCTCGGTGGTTTCAAAATTTTCATCAAAATTGTTATATTTTGTATATTTATATGCTCAATAGAGAGTGATTTCTACCTGCTCAGAAAAATAGAAGATGGAGAGTTGGTGGCGGCTGAGCCACCTGTTTGTGACGGTGTTTCTGTCGAACATCTCCGAGCAGCTGCTGCATCCGGCGATCCCCGACGTCACAATGGCGGCGGTTTGTCCCGGAAAAGACGAGTGCTCCGCCGCCATCTACCTCACCGGCTTCCAACAGGCGGTATAGTCTATTTTAGTGCTTATATAGCTATGTTCTTGTTGTTTGTGTTTTCAGTTGCTTATTAGGTTACTTGTTTCACATGGGGGGGAAGTGAAAATTCATTTATTATTAATTTCATTGTTGCTAAAAGGGTTATCTGTTTGATGCTCGTAATGGGTCTCCCAAGCTTGAATTTTTAGTTCATTTAACTATGTTTGAAAATTTCCTGAATTTGTTTAGTTTGAATGTTTTGAGTTGCTCTAGACTTGAGTTCATGAATTAATTAGTGATCACTTGAGTTCTATAGGAAACGAGAATGAGTATCGAGTAGTCAGGTTTCGTTTCAGCTTTTATCTTGCAGGCATAATGCTTTTTAGCATAAAATGGGCTTAATTGTTTTCATTTAAGCTTTTATCTTCATGACAAGATTGCTCATTGCATGATCGTATCTCAAAATAAATGAAAGAGGTCACCAGAAGTCTTTATCGTTTCAAGTCATTCGTAAATATGGATTCAAGTTAGTCTATGGGGTTGTTATTGAGCCTACCTATGAAAGAGAACAGAGACTAGCTACAATGCGTGAATAATTATAATTTCTGCGATCTATTGAAATCGTGTCATCATTTATTTCTTAGATAGATATTGAGAACTCCTACTCATATCTTTGCCAATTAATGAAGATTGCAGGCATAGGTTCGGTGATCATGATGCCGGTTATTGGGAACCTCTCGGATGCTTATGGCAGAAAAATAATTTTGGCAATTCCTTTGACTCTTGCCATAATTCCATCGGGTAACATGTCCTACTTGCTTTTCGTTTGACATTTTTAAGAATCGTGATTTATTTTTTTTACTGCGGATTTGTGTTCATTCTAATTTTCTCATGAGCATGTAGTTGTTCTAGCGTGGAAGAGGACAACAAACTTCTTCTATGTGTACTATGCCATTAAGACCTTAACATCCATGGTTACTCAAGGAGGGATTTCATGCCTTGCTCTTGCGTATTTGGTAATTATTCAATCTTCTTCACTGCCTTATCATTCTGTAATTTGAAATTGCAATCCTGACACGTGTAGTTTCCTTGTTCTTGCCATTTTGGTTTGTTAAGCCTTGTTTTGTCTCATGGCTGAGACCGCAAGCTAGACGAATGCTTTAAACGTATGGCTTGTTGCATTTGCTTATGATGCTTAGCTAGCACCTAAGTATAATGGACATTATTCTAGTAAAATGCATATTTACCTAGTTATCTGTATTTTTTTACTTGGTACAAATTTTTCTTGAAGATAGTGTTACTGAGCTCTTGAAGGGTATATGAAACATGAATTTGTATTAAATGTGACTTGACACAACTCGGTCCTTGTCTTAACATTGGAACAAATCCATGATGCATTATAAAAGGTGTATCAAATATGATACTCATACTTGAGGTACATTCGATTCATTATCAAACCTTAGCTGAATGAGTGTGTTTATAGGCAGATAATGTCACGGAGAGCAATCGTGCCCCTGCATTTGGGATCCTTCAAGGTGTAATTTCTGCTGCATTTCTTGGTGGCACATTCGCTGCCCGCTTACTCTCCACTACTCAGATATTTCAGGTGCTTTCCCTTTCTTCTTAAGGATCACTTTTCTGATTTTCTGTTATGGAAATTTAAATTTTCAAATTCCAACTAGTTTGATGCTTTACAAGTTAGTGATTTAATTGACTTAGGTGGCAGCAGCTGTATCTATTCTTGCCACTGTATATATGGGAGTTTTTCTAAAGGAAAAACCTCGGAAAATCGAAGCTCTCGAGCAGCCCATCTTGAGCTTGGTAGAAATTGAGGAGGATAGTTGTATAGCACCAAAAAAGAAAGAACTCATTGGGAAAATTCCATCTCCTTTTGATATATATCGGTTGCTAAAGAGTAGGTAAAGACGGGTTATCATCTTTAGTATTATGGCTCAATCATAGTATTTTCCGTACTTTGTAACTTATTTACATGTTAATCTTTGTATTTTGAAGTTTCTTAAAAATTTAACGACATTTTTGTTTCATTTTTCAATTCAAAGACATCAGTTCTTGTTCCTAATTATCTTTTCTTATTCTTTTTTTAAATTTATTTTTCAGCGTGACATTTTCATTGGCCGCATGTGTCACTTTCTTCAATAGCCTTGCAGAGGCTGGCCTTGAAGCTTGTTTAATGGTATGCCCTTTCTTTCTTGTGACTATTTTATGGTTTTGACAAACGATATGCTCGTATTGGTGAACTCATCATTTTATCGTTCTGCAGTATTTTCTGAAGGCTCGATTTCACTTCAAGAAAGATCAATTCGCGGATGTGCTTCTCATTGCCTATATTGGAGCAACTATATCAAATGTATTTACCGAACTTTCTCATTTAGTCTCTCTCTAGTGACCTTTTATGGTTTTTGAAAAAAATTGAGTTCGTTTAAATATAACAAACTTTTGCAGATGGTCTTCATGCCCACGTTGGGTCCCATAATCGGAGAGGAGAAATTGTTATCATTGGGACTCTTTGCTGGATTTCTAAATGTGTTTGCTTCACAATCATTTTTTATATAATAATAGATCTGTATGGATATAAAATATTGTGAAAATGTAAATCTTATTTTTTTGCAGATGTTCTTCGACAGCATTGCTTGGGCTCCCTGGGTATGATAAAATATACTCCGCGATTTTTTCTTCTTAATTTATATTATATCGTGTTCTGTTCACTTAATGTGAAGGGCTCGTTTAGCTGTTGAAGTAAATCAATTTGTTGGATAAATCAATTTTAGTGTTGAAAATTAGGCCTTTTGAACATTGTGTTGTATCAGGTGCCATATGCTTCTGCTTCACTAGGTGTTTTCCTCTTCCTGACGAGCCCAAATGTGAGTAAAAAAGAAAAGCAATAATTATTTGTGTGAAATCTAATTATAGTCTAACCGATACTCGTGTGGTTTTCGTGAGAAATGCACAGCTAAGAAGCATTGTATCGAAACAAGTTGGGTCTAGTGAACAGGTAACATTTTCTCTACTGACAAATGTATATAAACTCGATAGTTGGGTTTATTACAAACATATGAAATGAAATTTCATTTTAATCTTATGTCGAATGCATGTAGAAACCTTTTATTTTTATTTTTTGTGATCTCTTAGGGACTTGCACAAGGATGCATTTTGAGTATAACAGCATTTGCAAATGTAATCTCTCCATTAATTTATAGTCCTCTTTCAGGTCTCTCTCTCTCTCTCTCTCTCTCTCTCTCTCTCTCTTTTTGTAAGACATGGAATTTTGTGCTTCTTTCAGCTTTAGTTCTGTCTGAGGACTCGCCATTTCATTTCCAAGGTTTCAGCATCCTATGCGTCGGGCTTGCTTGGGTAAGAAGTAATCTTCTTTTATAGTCTCTCTTAACGTAATTAAAACGGGAAAGAGAGAGAAAGAAAGAAAGAAAGAAAGTGATATTAGCTTTTACACTGCCTCGGGTCATCACATATAGAATCATTCTGCACATGCATGCTAATCCAAGGTTATCGGTTCTTCGTTTTTTGCAGCTTGTCGGGTTCTTTCTGAGTTTAATGATCCCCTTCTTATCAAGAAAAAAATTCAGCAATGAACTAGTTTGAGATTTGATTTGAGTACCCATATTTACTCAAATAAAGAGAGCCTCTTGAAATAGTGTGACATGAATTTTTAGGTTTAGATTAGGGGCATAATGCCTTTCATTGCATATTGTATTTCTTGGAATAAAATTTTCAGGTGCATGCCAGAAATTATGTAACCAATTGTAATATATTTTGTTGCACTTTTATATTATTTATTGAGAAATTACTCAATAATGAACAAGACTTTGGATTCAACTGCGGCAGTCCCAGCTAGTGTCACAGTCAAAATTTCAAATATCAGTCTTGAGGCATTATTGGCGTCATATTATATTGAATATAAAATTAAGTGGTAATAAATGATTACTTTTTTTTTTTCATTCATTTTTATTTTTTTAAATATGCTATAGATCTTCACATGAGGTTGAGATTGAAAAATTTTCTTTTTATTTTTTACGCATAATTCAGTTTTCAAGAAACCACAAAATCCAAATATTTTAAGTTGCAAACTATTATATATAGTGCAGTTATCAAATTATTCGCTGTTCAATCAACACATATCCATGTATGTATATGAAAGTATTGATCAAATAATGAAAAACCTTATAAGTTATAACTATACAATCACGCTACAACATTCACCGTAGAGTCGAATCTTCCACTTTCATAATAGTTGAGACTTGAGACATTCATAATAGAATCTCAACTACAAAGTAAACTAGAAAATACACAAAAAAATACTTCATTAGCCAATTATATATTTTTAATATATACCAATATATAACCATAAATATTAATTTTATAAACAGTATTAATAAAAATATGATTTTCTAATAGTTTATGCAGGAATATTATAAAAAATATAATAGTCAACCCATTTAACTATCACAACCTGTCACAAAAAATTGTGATGGAAAAATATTTCAACATTTCATGTAATTTACGCTTGCCCGTACAGTGTGTTTCCACTATTAATATGTTTGTGACATAATCATAATTATATTTGTGAGTACCCAGTCTAAAGTCCAGTGTAATTGGTATGATATTTTAAAATAACGTCATCAATATTAAATTGGAAACTGTACCTTTTACAAAATACATTCAACTTTTTATAATCAAGGAATTAAATAATTATTTTTCTGTTATTTCTTTTATTTTTGAATATGTTTCTCTTTAAATGTTCAGACAGAGACGCTTCAACAATTAATATCTGTTGAGACTCTTCTAACTTATAAAATATATATATATATATATATATATATATTTTTTTTTTCCCAACGAAAATAACCAAATAGCATAAAACTCATGAACGAGTACAAGCGTGCAATCAAAGGATTACAAATCAAAGACTACACTAAGCGCACAAACAGCGAGCATGTTTGTTTATGGAATTTTTTTAAAAAAATCCAACATTTTAATCCTACCATTTTTTTTGACTCAACTTTAACTCAAACTCACTATCATCAAAATTATCAATATAATTAAATAATATCAATCAATCATTCAAACACACCACATCAACCTTAATTCACTATTCATTCACTCACATTATTTTAACTAACCATCACTTCAAATCTCTCTCTCCTACTTTTACATCAAATCAATTTAAATTATTTTATTATAAATATTATTTTAATATAACCACTAATAACTAACCATACCACTTTTTTCAAAATTAACCAAACCAAACTAAAAATTCCAAACAAAACCAAAAATTTTTATAAACAAAATAATACTAAGCTAGCTTCACCCGAGGGAATAAACACCACTCCCCTCAACAATCCCTTTGGCTAAACAAGAACAAACATTACAAGCATCATCGCCTAAAAAAAGAGAAACAAGATGAAAAAAAGCTAACTAACTTATAATCATCAATGGCTAGAAAACCGTAAAATTTATAATAAACAATATATATATTAACTGGACCAAAAGTAATTAATATCATAATATGTATATTTAATTTATATGTAATAAATTATATATATGTCTAATTTATGCACAGAAAAGGAAGTAATATGTATGTCTAATTTAGCGAAAGTGGTGAATTTTTACTCATAAATCATATTAATTAAGCTCATGTTAGCAACATAAATATGGTGGTGCTATTAGTGTTAGGTTTGCTACATATTTGTTAAAAACAAAAACAAAAACAAAAACAAAAAAAAGAAAGAAAAGCGAATATGATTATATGATGAACTAATAATTAGTAAAACAAGCTGTTGCAAATTAAATAACTTGATCCTTGTACATTTATTGATTATTCTACAATGAAATATTCAAATTCAATTACATCACAAAATACGTGTTGTTTGGAGAAGTTCGACTGCCCACTTTTGATTCGACTTTAATTTGTAGAATCAAAGGATCCTTATTAATATTGTCAACGACCCGAAATATAATAAATTGGCAATACAAGTATTTTAGAATAAATTAAGGAGAATATCACTTCTAATCAATATACATACATAAATATGTATATATATACATAATAAATTAAACGGGAGTTCAACATATTTGACGGACCCAACCTATCTAATCACTCCCAACCAATCTAATCACTGATAAATTTTGATAAATACGTACCGTAATCTGCAGGCCCAACCTGTCTAATTATTTTTAAAGTTTGATAAAATAGGAACCATAACTCGTAGCAGTGGTGTAATCGAACTGAAAGCTGAGCTTGGTTATTTCGAACTCGTGTTCGTTTACGTTCTAACAATATTGTGTTCGTTCGTTATTTTCGAGCAAAAAATCGTATTCGAGCTCGTTCATTTAATTGTTCGTCAAAATTCGAATTTGTTCGTGTTCGAAAATATAGGACATAAAGTGTTTAATTATGTTTGATTAATTCGAAATTTATTCGTTCGAACTCTAAAATAAGAAACTAAAATAAATATATTTTTATATTTTAGATTTTTATTAAAAATATAATGTAAATATATAAAAAATAAAATATAATTATTATAAATTAATGTTAGCGAACGAGCTCGTGTTCAGTCATTATTAAATGAGTCTAATTTTCTGTTCGAACTTGGCTCGATTAACAAACGAACGAGCTCTTATTGAACCGAACGTGCTCAGATGAGTTTTTTGTTCGCGAACGTTCGGTTCGTTAACACCCCTACTCGTAGGCTGGTGAACAATTCATTTGTAGTCTAGTGTTGTTAAATAAAATGAGATTGAACATATAGTTTTTTAATGTAATTTTTTTTAATTCGACTTGTTGATGCTCAAATACGATTCGTTAATGGTCCAACTCGAGCCGATTTTAGATAAAGAACATTCACATCCTAGGCCTTAAAAAAACCGATTTGAAATCAAAATATAAATGATGCCCAATTTTGGGAAAAAATTTTTAACCTCCCAAAGTATGTCGTTTTTTTTACTTTGCCATATAAACTTTTTTTTGACAATTTACCTCCCAATGTAATCGAAACTGACAGTTTGCCTCCTGGATTGAAAACCCTAATATGGCACAAAAGAGTTTTCAACTCAATTAATGATGAATTTTAAACTAATCTTTAAATTAAATTGATTTAGGGCTTTTAAAGCCCATGGCGAGACGAACAAAATGAGGTATGATATGTCGAATTCTGAAAATTGATACCTCTATAATCGATCCACGAAGATAGTAGGAGCACGTGTGTATAGAAAAAATTTCAATTCCAGTTTTGTGACAATCAAAATATCCGATTTTCGATTGGGAGGTGTCATTTGAAAGCTAGTAGGACCAATTTTTCTAACAAGTAAATCTTATGAAAATCCAACGGTCGGATTTTGATCAGTATTTAGAAAACTATTGATTAATAGTTAGCTATTTTTTAGGCTACTAACCAAAATCGGACCGTTGGATTTTCATAAGATTTACTTCGATAGAAAACTTGTCCTTCAAGCTTTCAAATGACACCTCCCAATCGAAAATCGGATATCTTGATTATCAAAAAACTTGAATTGAAATTTTTTCTATACACACGTGCTCCTGCTATCTTCGTGGATCGATTTTAGAAGTATCAATTTTCAGAAATCGACAAATCATACCTCATTTTGTTCGTCTCGTCATGGACTTTAAAAGCCCTAAATCAATTTTAAAGATTAATTTAAAATTCATCATTAATTGAGTTAAAAACTCTTTTGTTCCATATTAGGGTCTTCAATCGAGGAGGCAAACTGTCAGTTTCGATTACATTGGGAGACAAATTGTAAAAAAAAAAGTTTATATGGCAAAGTCAAAAAAAGGGCATACTTTGGGAAGTAAAAAAATTTTTCTCCGTGGGGTCTATTAATTCTAAAATGAATTATTGATTCAAGTAAGATAATTATTATTTATATTTTGTTTTTATTAATAAGGAACTACGTTTTGTTATTATAACATATTTCGTACTCAATGACGTACCTAATAATGTCTATCTTAATTTAATTTATGGCATTTGGAAGGATCGGCCTAAGTCAAACTGGAAAAAAAAATAAAAAAAATGACGCTTGATCGGATCGTAATACGCGTTGTATCCAAACTGACTATTAAACAAAATTTTATGAATTCAAAGCAAAAGCATAAAAAATGTAGTACGAAGATTTGAGTTTTAGTCGATGTAAAATCTGAAACAGTCATAATTTATCTCATATCCACTCACAAACTCAAAATATCTATTATTCCACCCTATCATTTTTTTTTTCAATCATAAATTTATGATTGAAAAATTCATTTTATTCAATAAATCAAATCCAATTAAAAAAAAAATTCCTATCTAAATAGTTTTTGGCTTCTCAACATCAACATATTTTTTAACAAAAAAGTACATATTTGTTTTTTACTTATATGCTTTTTTCGTATGACATTTTAGTACAAAAACATGCATATATATTGAATTATTTTGCCTAACCATTACATCTCCGTAAAACCTAGCAGTTTTTAAACTATTATGAGATATGATGAGATGTACATGTATAAGAAATATAAAAAAACTGAAAATCATGATTTTCAGTGAAAATTTTAATAAACATAAATTTCAT